TATTTGGATCCCCTTTATGTCTGCATCTTGTCTTATTGCTGTAGCTAGGCATTCTAATACTAGATTGAAGAGAAGTGGAGAGAGTGGGCATCCTTGTCTTAGTCTGAACAGTCTTAAAGTAAGATTGCATCCAGCAAAGATATTGGAAAAGGCACTTGAGCATAGTATGTGCAGTCACTGAGCCTGCACAAATTTAGGATATAGGGTACATAATCTGAAAAGCACTGAGGTGTTCTATGTGGCTAGAATACGAAGATGAATGAAGTAGATCAGATTAGACAGTCAGGCAGGGCCTAACCTATAACCTCAAAGTGTCCAGTGGCAAGCTATGGAGTGTCACATGTGGTTAGCAGTCATTGCAATTGTTGGAGAAGTTGATGCAGGAAATAGAAGAGCAGTAGACATATCCAGTAGATAGAACACCTCCTTTTCTCCTATTCCTCCCCCATGGGACCTTGTCACCACGGTACCCTTCATGAGCTCCCCTGTGGATGATGTCAGAAATCTCTTCTGTTCCTCTGGATAGAGACTATCTTCTAGCTTCTACGATAGTCTTACATTGTGCCCAGCATTGTGCTAGTCTAATGATGAGCACATAGCTCATTTGGTAGACATTAAAGCACTTTTGACCTTGGGCTCCTATAGCAGATCTGTGCACGTAGTTGTTTGTGGTTAGTTTGCAGCAGGAACTTTCCCTGATTTTCTGTATGAGGATGTTGGGCCCACTTCTACAGTGACCTGCCCAAGCAGAAATTAGCATCCTGATGTTAGCTGTGTCCTGTCCTCACCTTATAACTAATCAACTGCCGTGTGTGTGTGTGTGTGTGTGTGTGTGTGTGTGTGTGTATGTGTGTTGGAGGTGTGTTTGTGCGCTTGAACTCAGGGAATAGGTGCTGTCCCTGAGCTTTTCTTGCTTATAGCTAACATTCTACCACTTGAGTATAGCTCCTTCTAGCTTTTTTGGTAGTTGATTGGAGATAATAGTCTCAATCAGGGGCTGGGAGGGTGGCTCAGTGGTAGAGTGATTGCCTTGCATGCCTGAGGCCCTGGGTTCGATTCCTCAGTACCACATAAGCAAAAAGAAAAAAGCCGGAAGTGACGCTGTGGCTCAAGTGGTAGAGCACTAGCCTTGAGCTGAAGAGCTGAGGGACAGCACCCAGGCCCAGAGTTCAGGCCCCACGAATGGACCCAAAAAAAAAAATAGTCTCAGTCATTCCTGCCTGAGCTGCCTTTGAACTGTCGTCCTCTGATCTCAGCTCCTGAGATCAGAGCCACCATCGCCCTGATTATTTTTAATATTTTTGGGAAAGTTTGAGATTTGTAGAAAGGTAAGCAAAGAGTACAGAGTTCCCATATAGGCTTATACACAGTTTCCTCTGTTATTCACATCTTATATTATCACGATATCTCTCTACCTTTTTTTACAAGTTGGCTTTTCTGCTTAGAATCTGATTCTTTTGTCAACATAGAATTTTAAGGAAGTACTTTGTTTCAGCCTGTGACAAAGCCCAGGTTCTGGTTCAGATCAGGGCACACACAGCTTGGAACCTGCTACCTCTGCTAGCCCCTCAGTTCAGATGTTGCTTGACATTAGATACATGTTTACTGATGCTGATGCTCAGCTGTCCCTCACAATAGCTCTGATGGCAGTGAAAACGGTGGCATTCTTTTCATTTTTTTAATAAGTTTTTTATTGTGAAAATACTGTACAGAGGGGTTACAGTTACATGAGCAAGGCATTGTTGCCTCCTCCTTTGTTATTCCCCTACCATCCCTTCCCTCCCACCTCCACAACTACATTCTCCCTACCCCCCCACCCCCGCCTAAATTGTAAAGTTTGTTTTTCAACATAGTGTCTTATACATCTCATTGTTGCAATGGGTCAACCTGTATCCCTATTTAAACATTTTGTTTTTTCCCTTCCCTTCTCCAAATTATACCATCAAATACAGTGCATACGGGTTATACCATGGGGGAGGAACATACAAATCAGCAAAAAAAAAATCATATGGTACATTATAAATACACTAGAAATAATAGCAAGAAAGAAAAAACCACTTGTGTCCCTATCTTGGGGTTCATGTCGCTTAACTTCATCTTATCTGGTCATATGTACATAGCTTTTGACCTTTTCTGCTTGTCCCAGACATATACTAGTTATTGCAAATAAGGGAAACCATGGGACCTATGTTTCTTTGGGCTTGGCTTACTTCACTTAATATAATTTTTTCCAAGTCTTTCCATTTCCTAGCAAATGGGGCGATGTCATTCTTTCTGATGGAGGCATAGAATTCCTGTGTGTGTGTGTGTGTGTGTGTGTGTGTGTGTGTGTGTGTGTGTGTGTAATACATTTTCTTGATCCATTCATCTACTATAGGGCATCTTGGTTCCATGCCACGCCTACTCCGGTGTAGTCTGTTTATCATGGGAAACCTGCTTTCAGATCTGAGAATGGGGCTTCAAAGAGGCCTACCTCCTGGAAAAGGCTGGCAAGCCCCTGGGAAAGATGTGTTGCTGTTTTTCTTTTCTTCGCTGTATAGGAGCGCCTATTAATCTTTTACTGTTCCTGCTGCTCATTGTACTTACTCATGCTCAAGGTTACCTTATTCAAGGCTCTTTCTTTTTTTTTTTTTTGGTTGGTCGTGGGGCTTGAACTCTGGGCCTGGGCGCTGTCCCTCAGCTCTTCAGCTCAAGGCGAGCACTCTACCACTTGAGCTACAGGGCCACTTCCGGTTTTCTGGTGGTTTATTGGAGATAAGAGTCTCACGGTCTCTCGTGCCCGGGCTGGCTTTGAACCGCGATCCTCAGATCTCAGCCTCCTGAGTAGCTAGGATTACAGGTGTGAGCCACCAGCGCCCAGCACCAATTGTATTTCTTAAAAATAGATGTAAAGGTAAAAACAAGTGCCTATCGTCATAGCTCATCATCCAAAAAACAAGATCAGGTGACCAGCTGGTGACCACCCAAGAACGAAGCTTTGCAGCAAGACTGTGTAATCTTTTGCCCTTTCTCATGGAGACTTTTGCTATAAAAGTTTGTTATCCTCTGCATTAAATCGCACTCGGCATCCACTCCTCTTGTGTGTGAGTTGTCTGTTTGCCATCTCCCCACCTATTCCAGTTCCTCCACTAGGTGTCCTCCGTTGTCCCGACAGAGCTGGTCCGCGGCAGTTCCATATCTCAGCTATGGTAAATAATACTGCAATAAACATAGTTGTGCTGGTAGCTTTAGTATGGTCCTATTTGTGATCATTTGGGTGAATGCCCAAAAGTGGGATTTCTGGGTCACAGGGGAGCTCTATGTGGAGTTTTTTGAGGAACCGCCATACTGCTTTCCAGAGTGGTTGAACAAGCTTACACTCCCACCAACAATGCAGTAGGGTTCCCTTCTGGCCACATCCCTTCCAGCATCTCTTTTCATTTCATAGATGAAGAAAGTGAGGCAGGCTGAAGCAGGTATAATGATGTGCCCGCTGATGCATGGAAGAGCTAGGATTTTTTATTTTGCCTTTCTGACTCCAGTGAGGTGAATGAATATTGAGTACAGACAAAGACTGAAGCAAAGATGGGAAAGGGGGGCTGAGAAGGTGGCTCAGTGGTAGAGTGCTTGCCTTGCATGCATGAGGCCCTGGGTTCAATTCCTCAACACCACATAAGCAGAAAAAGCCAGAAGTGGTGCTGTGGCTCAAGTGGTAGAGCGCTAGCCTTGAGCTGAAGAGCTGAGGGACAGTGCTCAGGCCCAGAGTTCAGGCCCCATGACAGACAAAAAAAAAAAAAAAAAGATGGGAAAGGTTGGGGGAGACTCCCTGGTAGAGGAGGCAATTGGGAGGAAATTTGCAGAAGAGTTAGTTGTGTAGGAACAAGCTCATTTCTCATCACACTGTTGAAAATGGGACTGGGTAGGCTCAGAAGACTGTGGCCTCCTCTGTCCCCCTGTCCCCTCTTGATGAAGCAGGTATGTGGCAGATTGTGGCAAAAAAAAAAAAAAGATATGGGATCAAGCTATTTTTTCACATGACTTCTGGAACATGGGACTTAGTCTTTTACCTCTTGCTCTCCCAGGTTCACCAGACACTGTCCGTGGAACTGGACCAAATACTGAAAGCTCTCAGCTTTCCCAACAAAAAGGTTGCGCTGCTCCTAGGTATGGGCTCCAGAGTTTCCGATGAAAGAAGGAAAGCCTCTAGATTCTGAGATAAGACCACTTACCCAGACCAGCCCATGGGCACCCCATAACTATTTCATCACTATGGTCTCCCTGCCCCCATGACAGAGCTGGGTGGGAGATGGAGGAGGAGGCAGGAACTGAATGTGAAGATTCTCCTGTTTTCAGCTGCCATCTTAAACTTCCTGCGGACAGCCCTGCAACAAAACTTTTCCTCTGTCCTGGTGGCCTTGGTGCACTCAGGGTCCCGCCCCCCAGCAGCCCCTGGGAGCAGTGTCCTGGCTCCACTGGAAGCATCACAAGTGCTGTCTCTGGTCGTTGGGCTGCAGAACCTTCTGGTTCAGGTAAGGACCTTACTGAGTGGACTCCTGAGAGTAGGAACTGATTCTTCCAGAACAGCAACAGGATAAGTTAGCAGCCTATCAGTGGCCCAGTGGTGCTATGAGGACCTAGAGGGTGATTGGTTGAGAGGTAAAGCTGCAACAACAGAAACAAAGCTTAAGGTGGCCCCTGGAAAGTCCAGGCGTGACTACTGGCTTCAGACCTAACTTTATATCTGCACTTATCAAGATTAAATTTCCCAGGGTCACACATACTATAAGAGATTAAGCATAGATTGAAACCATATCTTTAACCACCAGACTGATAGCCTTCAGAAGAATAGCATGTGGGAAAAGCATATGATTTTTGTTTGTTTGCTTTTAGCTTTTCAAGAAATCTGCTTAAGGATACAAAATTAACTCAGAAAAATCAGTAGCTTTTCTGAATACCAATAATGGGAAATCAGGAAAACAATGCCATTTGCAATAGCCTCAAAAAATATTTAGGAATAAACCTAACCAAGGAAGTGAAGGACCACTATAGCAAAAGCTATAAAATTCTGAAGAAGGAAATAGCACTGTGGCTCAAAGTGGTAGACTGCTAACCTTGTAGATTTAAAACAAGCAAAAATAACCAAATTGCTTTCCAAAATGGCGATACCATTTTATGAAAATTTCAGTTTCTCCATATTCTCCCAACATTTGGTTTTGTCAGTCTTTTTATTTTTAGCTAATGGTAGGTATGTAGTTTTATCTTGTGGTTTTAATGTCTATTTCCCTAATGACTGATTAGATTTGTTTCATAATTAATACACAAAATTTTATTTCATGAAAGGTTTTGCTGTTTCTTTGTTTTTGTGGTCCGGTTGTGGGGCTGGGCTCTGTCCCTCAGCTCTTCAGCTGAAGGCTAGCGCTCTACCACTTGAGCCATAGCACCACTTCCGGCTTTTGTCTTTTTGCTTATGTGGTGCTGAGGAATCGAACCCAGGGCCTCATACAGGCAAGTCAAGTACTCTACCACTGAGCCACCTTCCCAGCCCAGGTTTTGCTGTTTTTAAAAGTGGGTAAGGGGGGCTGGGAAGGTGGCTCAGTGGTTGAGTGTTTGCCTTGCATGCATGAGGCCCTGGGTTCAATTCCTCAGCACCACATAAGCAAAAAGAAAAAAGCCAGAAGTGGTGCTATGGCTCAAGTGGTAGAGCGCTAGCCTTCAGCTGAAGAGCTGAGGGACAGCGCCCAGGCCCTAGTTCAGGCCCCACAACCGGACCCAAAAAAAAAAAAAGTGGGTAAGGGGCTGGGAAGGTGGTTCTGTGGTAGAGTGCTTGTCTTGCATGCATGAGGCCCTGGGTTCTATTCCTCAGCACCATATAAGCAGAAAAAACCAGAAGTAGTGCTGGGGCTCAAGTGGTAGAGCGCTTGCCTTGAGCTGAAGAGCTGAGGGACAGCGCCCAGGCCCAGAGTTCAGGTCCCATGACCAGCCA